GACTGAAAAATAAATCAATTATATGTATGTATGTAAGTACATCGTCACCTAAGGATAAAACGGTGCCAAGTCCATTTTTTTGAAATTGTTCAGGAAAGACGAAAAATTGATGTAGTTTCGTATTACCTGCCATTCTGCACCAAAAACTAAATTTTGAAAAAAATTGACTTGGCACCTTTTCACATTTAAGTAGCGAATATGTATGTAAATTTGTATGTTTAATAAATATGAGCACTAAACTGGAATGCAAAAAGGTGTAATCCCACCCTATGGATTGAAAGGTTAAAGGCGAAATTAGTCACATATCAAATTAACTGTTGGTAAAGAGAGCGAGAAGCAACGGTAACGTGACCGTCATGCGGTGGTGAGTTTTCATTAACACGCAAACCCCCTAAGGTAGATCGTGTCAGCGTCAACGTACGTTTACGCTACGTAGTTGACTAATTTCGCCTTAAGTCATAAAAAAGTTTCGTAATAAGGCCCATAAAGTGGTTACTATACTGAGGAAAAATTCTAACCTTTCGGGAAGAAAAACAGTTCAGCTAGCGGATTTTTAACCAGCTTTCAAAAAAGGAGGAGGTTATCAGTTCGTCGGAATATTTTTTTTTAATGTATGTTACCGCATAACTTTGGACCACGTCAACCGATAATTCTTTTTGCATCGGAAAGGCAGTGTCTCAGAGGTGGTCCCATACTAATCTGGTTAATAAGATCCGATCAGTGGATCATGAGATATATATATATATTTTTTTTTATATGAGAGTTGAAGTCGGTTTTTTTTTTGCTAAAAATTACTTGTTCTGAGTCATTTGTGCGAAGAAGCGGGGCTGAAGACCTAGAAAGTTCAGAAAGTGCCGAACCGGAATGCTTAAAAGAACTTAATTGAAGGCAACTATGTAGCAGAATGCGGCACAGTGTTTATAGTATTTCCTATACCGTCGCTAGACACGAGTAAAAGTGCGTTAGTGTTTTGACGTGGAAAAAGGAAGCGTGAAAATATTGATGATAAAAGACGCTTAAAAAAGATAGGTTCATACTTGGCCAAGGACTGTCACTTCAGCAACATTCCTCAAACACCCCTTGGGGAATTTACATACTGTTACACCCGCAACCATAGTCGACCAGTGAGTTTACGCGTCTTTCTTCGCTTAAGTTTTTCATGCGTCTTATTTCGCGGTCAACTTTTTGTGTTTCAAGCGGTTCTAAGCACAGATATCTTAGAATCAAATTAAAACAGTTTTTTTTTTTTTTTTAATAATGAGATCCATTTTAAGTTTGTTTGTAGCATAGATTATATAATATCAGTTCGGTCTTCCATATCTAGATTACTTCATATAAAATGAAAACTTGTATGCCAAGTGCAAAATTGGATGCATGCAGGAAGCGCGCAGAGCGTAATATTAGATACTGGCATGACAGGTTAGGTTTTCTTGGTTTCCACCATAATGTGTTAGGAAGAGGCACACTTAGGGCGCTGTGGTTACATTATTCAAGAGAATCTTTACATTTTTGCGCCCCCTACAGGTAAAACCAGTTCATCGTACAGTAAGGGTCACAAGATCGTAGATTCTTTTAAAAACCCACGAAAAATTTCGAACGATCTTCATACCCGAAGTGTTAAAAAAATACTGAAATATCGCAAAAATAAAACCTCAATAATCTAGAAAAATACCGAAAATATGCAACAAAATTCGAAAAAGTAATACGACGAGGAGTCCGAAAAAATCTTGAAAAGTCTCGAAAATAACCGAAAAATCAAAAAGAATTTTTGTTTTTATTATCAGTGTCAAAAATGAAAAAGAACATACTTCAGGTGAACAGCGGAGATGGTCTAGTAACTAGATATGTGAACAAAGGCACTCCACAAGGGGTGTACTTACCCACTGTTGTACCCACCCAGTAGCCTTGAACGGCATACTGGTGGATCGCAATAGAGGAGTAGTTTAAGTAGTGGAATATGCTGACGATAATTGCAGCACTGAAATCCTGCCCCTCAGGAGCACTGAATGCTGCCCTCAATTTAGTTCCCATTGATCTGGGCCTAAAGGAAAGACTCAGAGACTCGGTGCTGTGGAAAACGAGAACTTGGACATAGCTCAATCTTAAAGCCTTAGTACGATAGAAAATAAAACCCGAACTACATGGTATCAAACCTGGACTTTGAATATAAATACTTGTGCGGCTTCCATTCAGAAAGGAATGGAAAAGAGGCCAAGCTACTAATAAGGAAAACATCTGTATCTAAAGTGATGTGTTCAAGATGGACTGCGATGTAGGCACAGGGGTCTATTCTGAGAAGATCGGTGTTCAATCGGTCCCTGCGGCTGGAAAACCATGCCAGGATATTTCAGGCTAAATTGGTATGCTGTAATCCGAATCTTCGTAGTTACGAATTCGTAGTTCCGTTCCGACAAATCGAAAATTGGTATGCTGTAATCCGATCGTAACTATCAACGGCACTGCCAGCTAAAAGCGCGAAATTCGAAGTTCTTAACCAGCTGCTTTGGCAGAAACAAATTAAAATAAATATAATCGCAAGTGAATAGTGAAATTTAAAAAAAAAAAATTGTCGTTATTTGAAAAGAATTTTCCTTAATTAAGTAGGATACAATGGAATCAGTGGCCAGAGCACTTTTGTCTCAGGTGGAAGAATATTCTGCAGCTAACAGTTGCATTAATATACAAAAGAGATTGCTAGTAGTTCTGATCCATTTAGCTTGTGAAAAATTTCCGCATCAACAAAGATGCATTTAAAAGCGTTTTAATAATTATGTAGGAAGAGCTTAGGCGAAGTGTAAAATCATCATGGGCACATTGGTGGCAGTTTTGAGGTTTTTCGCTGAGGGGAGCTACCAACATAGTTTTGGGGAAATGGATGTCGGGTTGGCGCAATCCACGTTCTCAAAAACTTCAAACATTTTTCAAAGCCTCGAGCAATGTCCGGCCTTTAGCTCATGCATTCCACAATTTTTTCGCACTGCAACTGATTTGTTATGATCTTCGACCTGATATGTTGGAAATATTTAATAATAATCCAATTTTTTTCTATTTACACTTTAACTTACAGCGTGGCGACGAATAACTGTTACCCAGGTTTTTTTGAGAAATAAAAGGGTCCTTTAAAGATTTTGCGAAAAAAGTATTTTATTGATAATTTTCCACAGATTTTACTTTAGTTGCATTAATTATTTTTTAAATTTTAATCCTTATTTACATTTGCCAGCAGTGTAAACTTTGAGAGAAAAGTTCATTTGGCACGCAAGTCTTTTTCAGGTGTATTTTTTCTTAAGCTTTGTATAAAAAAAGTACAAAAAAGAAAAAAACTGCATAAGGTTGGTCGAATGAATGACCGTCCTAGTCACCAGTTCCGAGTCTATTCGATTTTTGAGTATGAGGCCTTAGGTTGGACAGAAGGGGGAGTATAAAGGACTCAAAATGGAGAAAATTAGCCTATGGTTACAGAAGATATGGAATAAATTAACTGACGAAGACCTGCGTGCCAAATGAACTTTCCTCTCAAAGTTTACACTGCTGGCAAATGTAAATAAGGATTAAAATTTAAAAACTAATTAATGCAACTAAAGTAAAATCTGTGGAAAAATAACGATAAAATACTTTTTTCGCAAAATCTATAAAGGACTCTTTTATTTCTCAAAAATATCTGGGTAACAGTTATTCGTCGCCACGCTGTACATACTTTTGCGTTTACACACTTTATTTTGTTGATATTTTAAAACAATTTCTTTCGCTCCGATACTAGTTGCTCTTCGTACAAAATTTCCGACAAATACATAAAAATGACAGTTACGTCTGATTCAGGCATACTAACATTACGAATTTCGAAGATGGCCTCCGAATTTCGAAATTACGATACGACGACGCGGATTTCAGGATACCAATTTAACGACTCGTAGCAAAATCGAATCTACGACGGATTACAGCATAGGGGTGATAATGAAGTATTTAGCGGATTTCTCTTCTAGTCCAACAATAAGCGATATGCACAAATTCATAAGCGGTTCAGAATGGTTTAGTTAAACTGCAGAAATGTTTAATAGGTAAAATATCATTGTTCACGAGGAGTGCACCAAAATGGCGTTCTTATTATTCCCGATTAAGTGGTACTGAGCGTGGGTATTTACTTTATGATGAGCGTGCGGACGAGACTGAGTTCCTATTCATGAGGAAACTAGACTCATTGTTTGTGAGAACCTTAACGGGGTCCTCAAAAAACTGTGCTAGAAGTCTGTTCTGGAATGTCTGTCTGATTTCCAAAAACGAAAAAAAAAACGTAGTAAAAACTACATTGCGTACTTGCGCCGGGTATTTAATGTTCGGCTCCGCCCGAACTTAGACGTTTTTACTTGTTTTAAATGTGTATGTGTTTTTGCATGGGAAGTGGTATTTGTAGTGGAGCTGTAATGCCTACTTAAAAATTAGTATAACTCAAATACACACTTTTTCCTTCCCCACTTACCGACATTATACGATCCAAATCAATATCCTGATCCTTGTAAATCTTACAATTGTCGAGAGTGCGACAAAGGCTATAGGTCAAGTGACGACCCAATAAACTATTTAATATAGGTTTCTCTATACTTATAGTTCCTGAAACAAAAGTTTTAAGGCATATAATCAATTTACCACATTAACAAAAAGCAACTTCAAATACATACCTTTATGAACATCCCAAGGAGCCGAAATGATTTTTGCAGCCGTTAAACAAGAGTGCGCCTCCTCACTTTTACGTACCAGGTAATTGCCTAGAAAAACATGCAGTCTATATACAAAGGCTGTAATGAACTATGTAAATAATAATAAGGATTACCTAAAATCAAGCCCCCCATTGAAATTCCAGTAGCGCCTAACTTACAATGCGCGGGAATAATTTTGCGCACATGATGTACAATTTCCGAGAGGTCTTCACAATTAGAGGCGCAATAAAGACGCGGGGTTTTGAGTTCAATGCCACCTAAGCCACGATTGTTGAATACGACTACACGCATGCCTGCATCATTGGCCGCCATGACAAGGCATTTGATGTATTCTGCTTGGGATTCCCCTGTCAGACCCGGTAGGATAATAATGCAGGGCGCATTAGCATGACAACCTCTATCCAACCAATCCAAAGCGACTTCACCACCATCTTTTAGTGGGAAAATTTCTCTAATTTTTTTATATTATCGTTAATTACATATGGGTATATGATATTTCAAAGCTATGTCGAAGTGCACTACCTTCTATAATTTATGTTGGGTATAATTTGCGATCGTAGTAAGCTCGCAAAAATCGTTTGTGCTCGACTCTCCACACACCAGAATGTGGGCCAAAATTTCATTTCTAGTGTTGGAATGTTTTGCTGAAGAAACTCTTTGAATGCACCATCGGTGCAGGCAAGTATCGGACGCTGTCAAGAGAGTCCAGATTTCATTTGTAAGTACACGATTTAAACGTTTTATAAGTACTGGAACACTTACCTTAACTACCTCTATAAAGTAGTAGACAACGTAAGCACCGAACGCAAATGCCACTACATGCCAGCGTGGCATATTCGAGAGGTAGTAAAACATAGAGTCGTACATAACGCGTTTGTTCAGTCCTTCGAAACTCTCTGCGAGTGTTGGCCTCACACTTAATCTAGCAGAATGTTCGGATCTGAAGGAAATAAAAAATTATTACCAAAGAGATTTATTAGCGATAATGTTTTATTTATTGAATTATTCTATTCCATTAAGGTCGCATTGATGTTGAAATGGAATAAAATAAGCTATATGTGAGTTATTATGTATTCCGTATATTAGAGGTCAATGTATGTTTTCCATTACTGGGGTACGGATCCAATTTTCAATGGCCTGAGTTATGTTGACTTTAATGCTTTGA